TATGGCCTCTTTAGATTTTATATTTTAGTCCCCAATTCAATGATCATAAAAACATCTATGTATGGATTATTTTAGTCACATTTGACAGTGAGCTTGAGTATAACATTAATGTTTCTAGGATTTCAAAAGCTTTAGTATAAAGTATGAGTATTTTTATATCAATGCAAAAACCACTTGGACAACCTTGGGATACTAAATACCTCCCTTTAAAGTAACCACTTGAACTCAATGAATTAACAATGACTGAGCTGTGAAGCTTTGCTCTTCTCTCATAATTCCCTGACAATTTTGGAATTTTATGGGTGCTGGGAAGTGTGGGTCAAAATCATCTGGAAAGGAAGAGATTCACATGGTCTCCTTCACCTTTCGAACTCTAATAATTCAAAAGTAAATTTAATATAGAGAATGTGGGAACAGACTTATAATAAAAAGGCTGTGCACTTTTATTTATTGGACTTAGGGATCATAATACAACTGCCACTCATCTAAGGTAACCATCTAGGGGAGAATTTGACCATTTGATTTGGACATAAATTATGAACTACATTCCTTGAGGGCAAAACAAACAAAGAAAAATAATTGTGCCATTTGTGAAAGTGGTGCCAAGAATGTCACATCATCGTTCTCATATTTCACACATGGGTCACACTGATAAAGGATAAACTGTTATGTGACCTCTTGGGTAATAACCACTATACCATAAGTAAAAGAGTGGCACAGGCATTAAAATGTGACAAAGATATAAAATATTTCAAGCAGTAGCGCATAGCAGAGTTAGAGTTAAACTGAGTTCAATTACCATACTTCATATTTTGAAGCACCTAGAATAATTGAATTGGAACAAAGAAGCCAGATAAAAATACTAAAACAAATATCTAGCCATTTTAATAGATTCTTTCATAAATTAGAAAAAATTCTTAGTTCACATTTTTTTTAATGCTAACTAACATGCAGAAATGCTTTGCCAATAGAGCCTTTGCCTATCGAGATTAAGAAACTTAGTTCTTCCTGGAACAAGAGACTAGGACTTTAAAAAGCTTTGGACATATATACTTGACAATCCAAAATAGAATAAAATAGAATATTTTGTTTTATTAAAGTCTATATGAAAATAGCACATGGACAAGCTAAAATAAATGGCATACAAAAAAGAATAGTAAAAATATTGTACATGTTACTTAAAAGATACTTGAAGGAAAGCCTTCAAATTAGGGAGGTATGGATGGGAAAAAAGCTGATCAAAATAAAATCTATCTTTACACTTTTAATTCAAATCAGAAGGTTAAGGATAGGTTCTAAAGTATCAGGTACTATTTTCATTGTAGGTAACATATTCTGGGAGGCTACAGGCAAAAAAAAAAAAAAAAAAATTCTATTCTGTCCTATCCAATTTTCCTGGAAGAAATTCCAGCAGCAGCCTGTAAGGTAAATGGAGTGTGGAAAACCAATTCACAAATTGCAGGCTTGGGAAAGAATAACACTGCTTAGAAAATGGAAGTCGATCAAGACTGGAAACATTTCACCTGTTTTCATTTAAATCTTTAATTTTTTTTCCCCCTGCTGGTATAGGAAAGTGAATACAGTATAATGGGGCAGTAGGGAGTATGAACTCAAAATATCTCAAAATAGCCAAATTGCCATGGTCCATGTAATTTTCTGTGACTCAAAGTAGCTAAGCATTTGGATAATCTTCCAGTTAAAATGTGGTTCATGAAACTTAAAACACTTAATTTCAATCGTGGCCCCCCCACATATTATGTAATATTCACTTTAATCAATTAAGAAAGAGCTATTTAAAAAAACTATAATGGAATTTAAAAGTGGAAAATGACTTGAAATCTTAGTAGACTAGTACCCTGTTTTCAGTGAACTGCACACACACCCATCACAGAGGGGTAAATATCCCCTGCAACATTAAGGATCTGAAAAAAAAAGATACCTCTTATTCTCATTAGTTACCCAATCTGTGTCAAAATGCTCCATGGTCTTAGACTTTTCCAAAGAGGCTAAATCCTTCATGTAAATTCCAAAATGATTTATAAACAGTCTGTGACAAGTCAATTAATTCTGGCAAGTCATTATCATTGAAGAATAGAGTTGCATTGCTTTAAAGCTTTCAAAACATAGATTTACTCTACCACCTATTCTAGACCCTGGTGAGAGCTGCAACTTCTCCCTACAACCCTCTTCTTAGCCGGCCATCGTCTCCACCCCAGGAGAAGCCTGCCTTGGTTCCTGACCTGATCACCAAGGTCTGAGTGAATGTGCATCTGCTGGACTTAAAGCCCAAGACTTGAGACTTTTGAACTTAGTACGCAGAGGGAATGTCTGTCATTAGCCTATCATGATTAAGCATGTTTGCAGTGCTTAGAATTAATCTAGAATTGTTTGCTGTGAATTAATTAATCTGGACTTGTTTGCTGTGAATTGATTGTCTATTGCAGTGCCTAACATTAAGGATGGTCGTTTTCTTGATTAAGAACCTATAGAATGAAATTGTATTGAGTGATTTGAGTGAATAAAGCATTGAAAAGGGCAGAAGCATATGAACATTCTTTATTTCTCCCCCTCAACTGCATACGTTGCAAGTTTGCCCCTCGGGACATTATACCATCTTATGACCTGCGGCCATCAGTACCAGTGGCTCTCATAATGACCAAGGTTCTCAGGGAAAAGACAGAAATGTCCTCCCTTCCTTCAAGAAGTCTATCAGAAGGGTAGCACCACACATAAAAGGTCCCCAGCCTTGAGAGACTTCCCTCTTCACCTCTGGGAGGCATGTTCTTCCATTCCCAAAGTTTGAGAATCTTTGATCCATAGAAAAATAATATAATGACACTTACTTAGCAATTTCTATGAACCAGGCACTGCTCTATGGATACACTGAATCTTCTCAAGCAATTGGTGAACTTTACTAATACCATCCTTTCATGCATGAAAAAAAGAAAAAGTGATGCTCTGATAGTTCAAGGAATTTGCCCACAGTCACCTGAAAAGCTAGAGCTCAACTCTGAACTCAGAGCATCTGATTCCAGAGACAGCACACTTCACCACCATTCTATATTCTCTCACTTGTCCACTGGGATAATTATAAGAAAACCACAACAAACGTGGAAACACTCTTCAATGTGACAGGGCAGTGAATGAACCAATGTCTCAAAGAGGAAAAGTTATTTAATGAACATAGGAGCCATCCAAGATGGACCTGGGCTCGTAAAACTGCACTTTAGACTATTTTTCCCCCTCCCTATCCTTTTCCTTCACTTCCACTTTCTTTCATCTTTTTTTTCCCATAATTTTAACCTTAACTATACAAATCAGTCTCGATTGTACCCATGTGCCAAAGTGACACTATTGCGTACATCCATTCACTCTAATACTTTTTTTCGAGGATTGCAATGTCTCTATTTACTTCACTAAAAAAACAAGGAATGTCTTGTATTTTATCACTTTAAATTTAAAAAAAAACATTTAAAGATAATGGTGTCTGAATGAAAAAACTATGATTGAAGTCAGTGATATAGATGAATCTCATAAATAAAAGAGTTAGCAAAAAAAAAAGCCAGATGTATAAAGTAATACTATATGACTAGTTTATATAAGGTGAAAAAATAGACAAATGTTAGTATTCAGGGCAATAGTTACCTGTGGTGTAGGGGCACAAGGGGGCTTCTGGTAGTCTATTACTATTTTCTCTTTTGATCTGGCTGCTGGTTACACAAATGTTTCATTTTGAGAAATTCACTGACCTCTAAACTTATATATTTGTGTACTTTTATGTTATACTTTGACACAAGAGTTTAGGCATTACTTCATCCAAAATTCTCATTTGCCTATTGCATTTTACCATTACTTTTCTCTTTTGCAATTAGATGTAATTAATTTGTTTCACAAAGCTGATAATATAAGCTATCTTATATTACGTATAATACAATAATATGAAAGCTATACTGCATCATATCTAATATAATATTATATAAAATAGCAAAGTTATCCTTAGGAAATATTCTATGAGATGTTTTAAAACTAAGGTTTGTTGAGTATAGAGTAAAATTCAGCCTTTCTATCATTTATATATGGTAAAATATTCAGTTCTAAAGTTTTTGACAAGCACTTTTGCTTGTGTGACCAGTACCCAAATCAAGATACATATTATTCCATTATCCCTGCAAATTTCTTTTTGCTCTTCTGTAGTTAATGTCATCCCCCAACCTCTAGCCCCTGGCAACAATGATTGATTTTTCTGTCCTGATAGTTTTTACTCTTCCAGAATGTCAAATAAAAGCAATCATACAGTATGTATTCTTTCCAGTTTGGCTTCTTTTATTTAGCATAATGTATTTGAGATCCATCTATGTAATGTATAGCAGGAGTCTATTCCTTTTTATTACTTAATAGTGTTAAAATGGAAGTATATGCCATAAATGAAGAACATTTAAGAAATTTCTAGTTTTTGGTCCTCATGATTAAAACCACTATAAGCATTCAAATATAGATTTTTGTATGAACATGAGTACTATATTTTGTTTTATAATAATTCTAGTTGTACTTTTACCTATACAAAATATTTTTATATTGCCTTTTTCATAGTAATTCTGCTACCTAGAGAATATACCAACTGGTTCAAAATAATATAAAATCAGAAATTGAATTCAAATTATATAACAAACATAAACATTGGTCAATTTAGCAAATTCCTTGTTTAAAATATTTCTTTTTGTATTTACATAATAAAATCTGAACATATTCTGTTAAAGTTCTAGAATAATAAGTAAAATTGTTTCTAAATTGTATATAATGCTCATTAGGACTCAAGTCATAGTAAATGAAGGAAAAAGAGTTAAGAAATGTGGCTGGAAAAGAAAAGTGTTTTAAGTATCTGTCACAACTTACTAAATTAATATATAATTATAACTTTAATCTAACTGGTTAGTATTTTTTTTATCCATGATAACTGGGAAAGGATTTGAGTGATAAAATGGAAACATGGTAGATGTTACCTAGCATGTTGTGGTAAAGTGGAATGGCCCGTCCATGGGTAGTAAATGCAGTCATGACTAGTGGGACCGTTACACCTGCAGGCAATTACAGAACAGAAAACATCATTCTCCATCCACAGTGACATGCACACACATGCACCAATGCTCACACATGGAGCCTCGGAGGAAGAACATGGGAAGCAAGCACACCAAGTACCTATCCATCAGGCCGATGCAGTCTTCAATACTTGAGCCTATGCACCTGCAGAAGATGCGAATTAAAAAAAATACAAGGAAAGAAAAATTAGTCATTTACAAAAACAATCAGATAAGTACTGACTGTGTCAAACTCTTAATTTCAATTATCACATAATTTTTGAAACATGACTTTAAAGCCAGCAAAAAGAAAATTCCTCGATGGATACACAGAATGAATTGCCAGAATCACCTAAGTGGAATGGCAAGGAAATGTGGGCACAGTAAAGGAATTTTTATCCTGGTTCTGTGTTTAACTTCCAAACATACTTCAATTCATTTGCATCATTTATGATTATATGTCTTGGTGAATAACTTTATATTTCAATCACTATAATTGTTTTCATGTATATGAGTTATTCTAAACAGCCTTAAGTGTAAGTAAAAATCAAAATCAATAGAAAAGGAAACATGAGAAATTCAATACACTATAATAACCTCATGTTTGATGATCATTAAAGATTGATTTTGGCAGAAAATGAGTTAACATGCTTTAATGTTATTCCTATGGATACTTTACATAATTGGATTATTTCAATTCTTTGTTGTGACTGTTTTTAAGAACATATTTATCTTTAAATATTAATTTATTCAAAAAGTTTAAACTGAATTCATCATGCTGTAGTTTATTTTGATGATTTCTTTTAAAATAGCAGTGCCATAACATACAAATAAACACAGGATTTTTAAAAAGCATTTTCGGCCCTAATATTGAATGGAAACAATAACAAATAAATAAGAAACACCATTAAGTACATGAATAAACTCAGACCCAGGTAACTAAAGAGCCCACTGATTTGAACATTTAAATAAACACATGTAAGTGCACAGAATTCTAATACACAGTCCCTAGAACTTCATTTTAAGCTACTATAGAAATATTATTTCTTCCATCTTCCAATGTACTTGAATTGCTCTTATTTTCTTCCCATCAAAGATGAATAGCTCCAGGAAATTATTAAGATTCTACCTACAGGTATTTGATTTGTAACAAAGAATTTGTATTCATATGAATATATATATACACATATATATATGTATATATATATGTGCATATATATTCATATTATAGATAGATATAGATATTCTAAGCTTTTAATTTTCAAAGCTGAAAAAGTACGTGGAGCTAAAATCATTATAAAATGATCTAAAAAGTTGCCAATATACAAGGCTTGATCACGCATGATATCTTTAGATGACTCCAAACATTAGTGAATTAATAAAACTTACCTAAAATAATTATTAAGTCACTATCTTTCTGCTTCATCATTATGTATTACAATATTTCTACTGGCTATAAAATTGATTTCCTTGCATTTTTGCTTTCTGGATTTGTTTTAAGCAGCAAAGAATGACAAATTTTAGCTCATATAAATTTTGGAAATATACCTGTGACAAAAGTCTTTAGAACACAAACCAATAATAAATAACTAGAGTGCGTATCATTAAATTGGTAATATATATAGTCCATAATCAAAAACCACTTACAAAAATTAAAAATTAACTGCTAAAACCATCTTCCAAATGGTCTCATATGTTTTTCTCTTATTCTATTCTGAAGAACTTATTTTTCTAAGTTCTTATTATATCTTCTTCAAAATGCTTTTTGAATACAGTATTGCCATTTTGTAAAATTAATAGTCTACTTCTTATTTCCAAGTGAGAATCTCAAAAGCTATGGTTAGTTTGCAATCTTTATAATAACACTTGAAAGATAAAAATATTCAATAGTGAAATTCAACTTGAGGGGAAAATGTGAATAATGAAAGATCTTCACTCATTCAAGAAGCCCATTATTACATGCCTACTAAAGTATTCCCACTCTTTTAGGAGCTGCAGGGAGAGAAAAGATGAATTAGACACTTCTATTTTCATTGAGCTCACAATTTACTGAAGGAAGTAGATGCATAAACAGATGTGTATTGTATGATATGATAAGTGTAATAAGACATGTAAAAAAAAAGAGTAGTTTAAAGGAGGACACAAGAGGGACACCTTGTGCTACTCTGGAAGGTGGTAGTCACCCTCTGGGATGGATCAGTAGTTTAGGGCACTGAGGGCTGGGGTAAGCATGGCATGAGTTTTAAGGGGTGATAAAAGAAGGAACCACAAACAAATTTGAATAGTTACGGAACAAACCATGAGGCAACAGAGTTAAGAGAAAGAGCCAGACTTAGAAGACTATGTTTTAAAAAATGGAGTGGTAAATTATTGTATGGTTTTAAAAAAAAACTGTGAAATTGCTAGACTTGTATTTTAAATAGATGTTTTTGCTACGTGGAGGCTATTCAGCTGGGGTCTTGTTCAACATGGAACAAGTTTTAGGCTACGTAAGAGGTGAGGGACTAAACTACCAAAATGATCACTAAGGACACAGGCAAAGGACACAAGAAATGCCTTCAAAGGTATGGGATGGGGAGGAGTTGGTGGCTGATTAAAGGTGCAAGTGAAAAGACCAAAGGACTTGGGTGTTGGGGATATAAACAAGTAGAGATGGCGCCTGGCAGCTTGCCAGGAGGAGTGGTTTGTGAAGTAATGCCAGCGAGCCATTAAGATGGTGAGGTATCCATATTGGCTGACTGCTGTATCTAGATGATGTTAATTGAGTCGAGCTGTCTGTAATCAGTTGGGTATATATACCTCTGCTGTCCCGCAATAAAGCGGCTCCTGCTATCTCGGGTGCCCGCTACTTTGAGTTCTCGCTCAGTTCCTGCTGAGTTCACTCGCAATAAAGTAGTTCCCGCTTCAACCTTCAAGTTGCTTTTCATCTCTCGGTTATTTAGCCCAGCCGGACTACAGCACTTGGGGATGACTTATGTTTCTAGTTTGCAGAATAGAGACAGCACCCTGAGAGAATCCAAGAGGATTTTCTCTGTTTGTGTTAAAGGAAGAGAAGGAAGGGTTGATGCTTTCAATCTAGAGTTTAGTGCTGTTACCCTACATCTAGGTGGAAATGTTCCTCATCAGATGGAAAGGCTAGTCTGGGTTAAAGGGGGAACCACACACACAGCATAGTCAGTTTTGAAACAATGGCAGTAGACAGATAGGCTGAAGAGGAATACATAATGTGAGAAAAGCAGAAATTAAAGATTAAGACCCAAGGAACTCCAGTGGCATATAACATCAAATAGTGTCTTGTGCCCAAAGCATGTCGAAATATAATTGAGTAAAATTAATTAACTGTGGTGCCTTTGAAACCAAATCAGGAAAGAACCTTGAGAAGAAGATGAAGATCATCAGTGTAAAATGCAGAGAAATCTAGTAAATTAAAAATTACTAAAATAATTTTGTGATTTTTAAGTCTAGAATTTTTCTTCTTGTAAGTTGGGGAAATAGATACAAAAATAAGTGGAAGAGAGGGAATAAGGGACAAGACTTAGTTCAAGAAGTTTGAGGAGACTGATTAGGATATTTGTGATTTAATTGCATTTATAAACGAAGGATAAAAGAAACAAATGAAACACTAAGAGGAGTGAGGCTATGATTGATTGGAATCACACTTTCCAGGTATAAGCCACTGTGTATTTAAAGATGCATGTAGTATTTCAATTCATGCACTTCTTCTCTATATGCCACAGAAATTACATTTATTCAGCAAAAATCATAGATCAAGAGAAATATTAAACTCTAAACAGTCAAAATGAAAAGTAAGAGACAAAAATAGAATATGGAATAATACAACTAAAGAATTAATGTTCAAATTAGAATGTTTTCAGAAAGATCAGAAAAGAAATCCTTAATATGCCTAACATATTCCAAAACTATATCTGGAATTCTGATGATTGATCTGTGGTTAACATTATTTGGTACTTAATAATGTATAAATCTTGATATATCCATATAACAAATGCAATTTAGATATATTGGGGAAAAAAATTTCCAAATTTTGAAATGAAAATTACAGAACATTTTTAAATTTTATAATTTGACGATATAGACAACAATTCCACAAGCAGGTTTTCTTTTCTTCTCTCCATCAATACATTTTTTATTATAGAATTTTAAATTATAAAAAGAATTGATAAAAAGAGGTTAAAGCACATGTGAAATCATGATTCTAAGATTAACAAAAATTCAATGAGAGTTTTAAAAGATGTCCCATGAAATAAACTCTAATCCATGTCTCAAATACAGGTTTGATTTGAAATAAGACTAAAATGAAATAAACATCCATTGAAAAGGGTTGAAGTAATGTTACTAAGGAAATTATAATCCCTGAACTCACTGCCAACTAATAATAATAAATTTATTTTACAAGCTTTCTTTTAAAATTCAAATTAGTTGCTAATTACAAATAGGTACAACATTCCTCAGTTTCAAATTCTTGGTCATCATTTCAAAATATAGTAGAGAAGGGTCTGGTCTTCAATTGAGTAAAGAATATACATTCACTGTACTGCGAGTTCATAGATTTTAAGATCTTCATCTTCTTCATTTCTGAACTTGCCTATCACTGAGGCAGAGCAAGTATACAACACAACGAAGCCAAAGAATGAATAAAATAAGAACATGGTGCTAAAAAGTGTCCTCTAGGCATGGCAAGAAGAGACGTGCTTTTTTTTTTGTTGTTGTTGTTCTTGTTCTTGTTGTTGTTTAGTTGGTTGTCTTTTTGTATTTTCCCCTTTCCTTTAGGAATTCTGGTGAGAATTTCCTGACAGGGGCTAAATGGATAACCTATTTTAAACATATCTGAGGACCTTATTAGAGCCAATATGTTTAATGTACTTTTACAGTAGTAAAAGTGCTTTTAAGGTATTACATAGGTAATTTTATTTTCAGAAAAATCATTAAACAGTATTCAAAGTAAGAACTTTACTTCTAAAAAAATGTAATTGGAAAGACCATTTACATTAACTTGGTTCTTGAATTACCTGACATAATATTGGCATATAAAAGAAAAGCGGCTTTCCAAAGTGGAGCTGGCCTGGTGAGCTCACACCTACAGATAGGTCATCTATTACATGTGTTTAGGAATGAAAATAGTCACTCATCCCATCAACCCCACTGCTGCCGGGATCTTTTGATAGACAGATGATACTTCTATATGCTCATGTTCAATTTGGAGATAAGGGGAACTCAGTCTCAGGGGAACTCCTAAATTTTGGTCTGAGGCACAACAAAATAACTTGTTCTGGGAATCACAGCATTTATGAAATGAGTAAACTTGAACAATATAGAGGCAATTACAAAAAGGATAGTAGGAAGCTAAGTAAAAACAATTAAAATTTCTCAGGACCAAGTCAGTCATAAGAGAAATACATTTACCTTAAAAGATGATGGGGAGTACAATATTTGGATTCTGTGTCACTATGATTATGCAGCCATGAGTTGCTAAGGGCATCCTCTTTCTATTTATCAGAGTTACCAAATGATCTGGAGAGATTTGTTCCTTATTACACCTTCATATTCCCTTTTTGCTGAGATCCAAATTTTGCTGCTATGGTAATTTGATCGTTTTCTATTGCTCCCTACTTCTGTTTCCCTCCACTATGTATGATTTCCTTTATTATATAATCATGATTTAAAAGGGTGGAGAGGAAGACACACCAGCCACACATCCAGACTATGGCTCTGTGATCTCTACTTGCATTTCCCTAATGGCTGCATTGTAATTAGATTTGCAAAAACCGCAAAAGGTCTCATTTTGAATGGCAACAGCTGTTGACATCAATATTATATTGAATAATTTACTGGTTTAATTTTAGCTGCAAAACAATAAAACCCTCTTGTGGATGATTTTAGCAGGCAAACTTTTCTCTTCCAGTTGCTGACTCTTCTGCTCCAGCAGTACCAGTTGTTTTTTGTTTTGTTTTGTTTTTAATGAAATACTCTTAACTCAGGTGTGCCAAAAACCCACAAGCAGAACAGTTTATTACTTCTAGTTTCCTTGAAGCAAAATGTCTATGTGACTATTTCAGCATCCTCAATGTACTTGCTTATGTATAAACCAATGAGTTGGTAGTTAGCTCTTCCAAACTGAATTTAAACTTGAATGGCAGAATATTACTTTACCTTTTGAGGATCTGCCACTTCACAGAGTGACTTAAGCTGATTTCTTGACCTTTAGGAAATTGTAGCAGCATCTGTAAATTGATGTTTTCTTGGCAGAAAATGATGTTGCTTGCTTAACTTCTTCAATATCCTCTAACAGCTAGGCCTTAATCTGGCAGAAAATCTTTTTATGGAACTTCACACTTTCCTCCCAGATAGAAAGTACCCAAGATGACTCTCAGCAAGTGTGTGTGTGTGAGTGTTTGTGTGTGTGTGTGTGTGTGTGTGCGTGCGCGCGCACACACACAGCCTTCTGGATATTCATAATGGAGAAGAGGGTTTATGGACAGGAGGAGGATAGAGTATGTGAAATTGCTCTCAATTCTAACATTATGCACTTTCTGGAGGGGAAAAAAAAGAAAAATCCTTACTAAGGTAAATTTGAAAACATAGTTTTGGGATTTTCTAGATAAGTGATGTTACTTCTTTTATAGTTGAGTGTTCTTTCTCTAATGTGTTTTTGTTATTCCACTGCTACCCATATCACAGGCAATCTGATCATCATACATTGTACAATACAACCTTTTGAAACAGAAAAGTGTGTAACCATCTTCAAATTATCCTATTACAGTCAAAGAAATTTTAGGTTATAGGATAACAAACAACAAAATTACTTGTACAGAATATTCTAGTTATTTTATTAATATTCATATCACTAGGTCTCCTTTTTTTCTGCCATTACTACCTTTGCTTGGATTTTATTGAAGGAGTTATCCAAGGTAGTATTTATCAAAGAGAGATATCCTCACTTTAAGCTATGACAACAAAGAAACAGAAAACCTGATAAAGATTTACTAAACATAAATCTCAGAAGTATGATTATTAACTTATCTTTTCTGAATCTTGAATCTACAGTTAAAATTGAAGGAGTTTCTATACCATATCCAAACTATACCCAACACTACCTTCCTGGCCTGAATGCGTTAATAAAATGGTTGTAGGTAAATGTTAAGCAGAAATATTTCTGAGGGCACAAACAACTTTGACTCTCTTAGAAAGGAATTCTCTAAAGACAAACAGAGTTTTATGATGACATTCTGAGTTTAGGAGACTGTATCAGGAATAGAGATGCATGAGGGCACCTGCTGACTAGTAACACGTACAAGTTGGAGCCCTTGACTGGCAAGGATGCTTACCCTTGGGTGCAGTTCGGATGGCATGGGTGGCACTCCCGATCCTGATCCGCATACTTGAAAATGAAACTGTTTGCCCCCTGTAAGCCATCTGGACATTTCTCTACACAGTTTGGACCATCCTTAAAGTGAGAACATTTTGTACAGTTGTCAGGTCCCTAGAATGTGAAAAGAAGAAAAAGAATACAAAGAAAAGTGGGTGCCTTTTCATTGAAACATAAGCATGTGGTTTATTTGGTGTCAAATAACTCTTCCTCTAGAGAGAACATTTTCAGCAGTACAAATAGAGATGTAGCTCTTGTAGTATAAATAGCACTAAGAGAGGTTTGAGTTCAGCTTTGATACCCTGGGTGTGTGGGGGGGAAATATTATAGGGACATACATTTGCTTGAAATATTTGCATTTTTAAACCCATTAGTCCCTGGGTTAAAGGATATCCATGGCATGCCTCTAGTGTGAATTAATTTGAACAGCAAAATGGTTCAATGACTTTTTCAAAAGGATGTCAGTGTTTTACTCTTGTGATCCATTCTTGGTTATATTATACTGCAACAATTTTTATAATAACCCATTTCCATGGGGGTAATTCGTCACCATCACTAAAAACATGTGAATGGGATTACTAAATAGTTAGAAAAAAGATAAAATAGAAATTAGGAAACACTGATTTACATAGAAGAGTGAAATGCAAAGTGTCTTTTGGTTATAGAAGGACTTCATTTGAAAATTAAATTTTAAAATTTATTATGATGGAATTACTAGGAATTAGGTAGGCTAGGCATATAAAAGTAATTCTTAGGTCATTTCTCATCTCAGATCAGTTTGTGCTAAGGCCAAAACTCGCATTAAGATTAGTAAACAATAATAAAAAGATTTGAAGTTCAACATAATTAACATTTAAAAATTAATGTTAGACATCTAAGAATTTGTGGATCAATTAAAAAATTTGTATCTCATATAGTGGATAATAAACACATAAAAATAATAAGTAGTTTAATTTTAGATCAAAGATAACTGAGAACATTTCAATTTAAAGATGTTATTTTTCATAAACAATACCTATAATTTTGTATATGTACATATTTTGAATATTACTACTTGAAATTTAATTTTAATCCTCCTTTTTGAACACCATATTGTCTTAAGATTATAAGATAATAAAATCTCTTTGACCACTCCTTCCTGGAACTTCTCCCCTTAATTATTCTCCCCAACATCTGTCTATATCTAAAGAAGAGGACAACAATTTTGATAGCTCACACCGAAGACAATGCACATGAACAGAATACAATAACTACCAAGGAGACAATTATATCAGTATTGTAGATACAAACACAATAATTTGGAAGTCAAAATATAAACACAATATTGTGCAGGACTGTTTATTGAGGACAGACCGTAGAGATGAAATCTGTTCATGGGAGTATGTTATGCCACCTCCACAAACATTAACCAAAAAGAAGCAGAATTCGCCAGTTGCTGATATAATGCACAAGGAAAATAAGAAATATAAGATTTAAAAATTTAAAGACAGAAATTGCTAATGAAGAATCATAGTATGTTAATGAAGAAAAAGCAATCAGGGAAAGGCTGGGAAATCTTGAGACTGGTGAGGGTTAATCAAGCAGCTATTTCACATTTTGATGTGATGTTCAAAACTTAAAAATAAATAAATAAATAAATATGAACAATTGGCCTATGAAACCTAATTCCTATTCTACCTAAAGAGTTTGCTAATGTTAAGTTTTTATTTCCTCCCAAAAAAGAATACTTTACACCCTTCCAATTTTAACACCTGCTCATGGGTACTTAGGCACATAATACCATCTATTATAGGGAATGGTTTACTGTGCAAGTATGCTCAGTGGCATGACTTATGGTATAAGAAACATGCTTCTTGCAAAACACAGAATAAAACTTTCTATGAGTAAATTAGGCAGTTTTAGTCTGAATTAGGAATCAAGAATTATTTCTCTATTAAGTTCTTGTAATGTAAAATAATATCCAGACAATATCAGAAGATGTAAAAAATACACGGAAACCAAAGTTAAGTTCTTATTTAATATTCAAGATTATTTTACTGAAGTAAATTGTATTTTGTTCTTTGTTCTTTAAGCATCTCAAGTATTTGATTGTTTTATTATGATAGAAAACAAAATGTCTTGAGATAACTAAAAAATCTATTCTAACAAATCTCAAAAGAAATTAAACATACTGATTTCCCATTTTATTTCCATAATAAAGGACTGAAAAATATACATACATATGATGTTTACTCTTCTATCTTTGTATTTCCAAAGATTTTTAAAAACTAGGTGTAGAGAATGAATGTATAAATGCAATAATAGAAAATGGAGGCAATATATTTAATTCCTGATTGTAAGCTACCTCTGGACACAGTAATATATTATACAACTAAATATCAGGCCAAATCCTGATAGAAATATTGCATTTTACTCTCAGGATTATTTTCTCTGGTAGCTCTACTTGGAGCCACATATGAATATGCTAAGTACCCTCTTAATAGAGATAAGGTATAGCTTATTTTGGACAGGGAGTTTTATGTAGAATTCACATGAATTTGAATTCATATGCTAAACTCTCCAGCCTTCTCTTTCCAGGATGCCATGACTCAGGGATCCCATGTTGAATAGAAGTGTCATGAGTTCAAAGCCTGCTACAATGCTAGGCCACTACAGTGAGGGGGCTGCTTCTGAATAGTTAAAAGATTATCCGTGTACCCTATGTGAAAGGGCCAATGTTTTTTCTGAGAGCTATTGCAACATGAGGGCTATATATTGTGTCAGCACATCCTTTTTAGAAAATCTAGCTTTAAGAGCCACTCTAGCTTTTATATAAAACAAACATGTATTTTGAAAATCAGTTCCATTCCCTTCTCCTTTCTCTTCCATTGCTGCCCCTCTGGGCAACATTTTGGTCTCTTGAAACTTTGTCTGATTTTCCTAACTTTTCGTTCTTCTCTCACTCCTTCTCTTACCTTTCTTAACAGAACTATACAGAAATAGTGAAAGTAACACAGAATGGGGGAAATTTTGAAAATAAATCAACTAACTTAAATAATGAAGATCAACAGCAGACAGATAAAGATATAAAAGCAAAGGACATCTTTGATTTCAAATTTATTCCTCTCACAATGATCCTAGATTTCTGTCATAATTAGGCAGGATAATACTATCCCGTTTAACATAAAACTGGCATATTCCCAGAAAGCATTTTTCTTCTTATCATACTAAAGACATTGTTGCCTGAAAAAAATAATAATAAAGTGAAATGATAAGTGCAAGAAACTTGGGGTCAGATCTTCTATAGCTGAGTTGCAGCTCCTCATCCTCCTGAGAGTCTGTCTTTTGGAGAAACTTTCTATCATTATAAGCTCAATTTCTTTTCATTTTAAATGAAGAAGGTTCTAGCATGCTTCAGATTAACAGTGTTTTATCAATATAAATGTACATTACATATATTATTTTCATTAGGGAAATATTGACAAGTCAAAGAAATATGATTTCACCAGAATAAACTGTAAGGGCAGCAGTGTGATTTCCAAATAGCATTGATGACTTCCTCTATCAGTGTCAGGCTCATGGAGAAGCCTCCAGAAACTGTTGGATAACCCATGCCTGTTACTTAGCACACAAAACCATCACTGTCACCAATTGTGAAATCAACGTATGGACTCAGAAATAAAGAAAAACCTTACATGAATTATAAAGGCTGAAAGCAAGCAAATCCCCATCCTAAGTAGGCACAAAATTTGAACCACTGCTTGAGCTCAGCCATTACGATTTTTCTAAAAAGTACTGTGCTAATAACTGCAAGGCTTACTGATCTCAGACTGTCTTGATTAAGTGCTCTTATCCTCCACAGATGCCTCATCTAGCCTTCCTGAACTTTCTATTTTTTTTTTTTTTGATGGATCACCTTCTCTTATCTTTTGATATGTCAATTCATAATTTTAGAATTAAATAGTAATATTAATTATCTGGCCCAACAAATGCTGCCATTATGGAAAAAAAAATTGTGTTTGTTATAAGACTATTTTCACTCCCTCCTGTCAAGTAATTTATGACAATTCAAAGAGCATTAATTTGGGGTTATCTTAATGTTTATATTTATAAACTATCAAAATTCCATTGGAGAATAAATAAACAACAAACTGTAAAAACCTACAAAATAAGATAAATTAATAAAGCGGTTCTTCACTACTATAATTTTGTATAATAGGAGGCAGCATGAGGATCAGTAAAAGCATGGGACAGTCAAACGCCCTAAGGTGGGAGGCTACAATTGTGATCCATACATCTACTATAATGGACAATTCATTTAACAGTTCTAAGATTATTCATTGGCAAAATGGGAACAATATCTAAACAAAAATGAAAAAAAAAAGTTTGTGAAAATACTCTACAAAAGAACTAGCTCACAAAGAGCACTCAACATTAAGTCATGGAAATGAATATTATTTATTTATTTATTTAGGTATCTGGGATTGGACCCAGGGACACTTAACAAATGAGCAACATTCCCAGTTCTATATCTTTTTTTCTTTTGAGACGGGGATCTTACTAAGTTGTTTAGGGCCTCTCTGAATTGTTGAGGCTGGCTCTGAACTTGTGATCATCTTGCATCAGCCTCCTTCGTGGCTGGGATTATAGGTATGCACCACTACACTCAACATTAATATGATTTATAATGATCATAATGATTTTGACTTATGATTCATAGATAAAATGGTCATAAAATTTTTCAATACTTGAAAACTAGTATAATCATATTATGGAGCAGATTATTATAGAGATTTATACAGGGGAAATTCCCTATGAAATTACTCTAGAAAATATATAATATACTTTTTACTATGTTTGCATTACTTCTAAGCAAATTAGTTTTCTGTCTATGGAATTAGGTGGACTAAAAATACTAATTACTAGGAATGAGTGATTTTTTTAAAGGTAAAAATTACAAGAAAGGTAAAAATACAATGTTTTTAATAAACAGAATGCAATATATGCAAAAAAGCCTAATGTAAGAATAATATATTTAAATATGCAAATAATGCCTCTGTTGATGTTGGAGAAATATTTTTGCACATTAATATTTAGTTTGTTAGTATCTAAAAACTCATAATTGGTGTGCTAATGGAACCTGATACAAAGCAGTTCTTAAACAGTGTTTGTTGACTAAATGAACAAATGTTTCTTAGAGTTTTTTTTTTTTTTTCCAGAATTAAAAGGATAAAGGAAAGAAAAAACAAAAATTATGTGTCAAGAAAAAAGGTTCAGTTAGACAATAGTACTAATAAATCCATAGGAAATATCAGTGTAATGAAGTAGCATCCATAAGGATTCACAAATAAAATAGCAGATAGTTTTGCCGTTGTCATAACTTTTTTAAAAAGGTGTTTGCTGACCCAGAGTCATTTGATCATCCCCAGCCTTGATTAGAGGAGATGGCTAAATCCCTGATCATTTTGACTGTTTATTTTCAAAGTTTCAGAGTCTCTGAAGAGACTGTTTTCATTTTATGAATTATTATCTAGAACTTACCTAAATAAGAGTTCAAAGAACAAGTATTGATAACTCAACTTGTTTTAGTAAACTTTTACAGAAATTTACTTCCTTATGTCTCATGACATTCCCTAAGGAATTCACATTTCTCATGCTGTGGATTGACTATATTTCCATGCCTGTTCATGGTGGAGAAGGAAAATAGCTGTATGTGCCCTTTACGTACTTACATGGAGATCATTACATATTAAATTGCCTTTTAGACTTTGGTTCTTCAAGCCAAATAACATCACTTCGTTCTCTCAGGGATCTGATTTTCCAAGTTTAATCATCCTGTAGTATTCCTCTGAACTGTCCACGTTTTCCATATCCTTCTTTAGATGAACTTCCAGAACAGGTCATTGGGGCCTAATGGAAGTGTGGAGGGCTCAGTGATATTTTCTTTTCCTAAGCTAATTGTGTGCTAAATAAGCACTCTGGTAGAAAAATTAATACTATTTAATTTTAAATAAATTATTATGGAGCAATGTTGAGCTTTTAGTTATACCCAAATTATTTGGTCCCCAAATTATCTACTGAGAGATGATTCAATAACAGATAAACTGGAAATTTTTCTAAAGAAGGATGAATATGACACTTTGAGATGACAAACTCATACTGATCTTATTATTAAGGAAAAGCCCAAATGATAGAAACCAAAAGGAGGTCTAAAAAATAAGTATCATTTTCTCCCTAAAGATAACTTCAAATTATGTAAATGGCACCTCATCCATGAAGACTTTCCTGATCCTATAGCTTCTCCTTGGATTCTCATAGCTCAGTTCTTCTCTCTGCCATATTGTTTATCATAATGCTTTTATTCCTTCTTCTTTTTACTATCCTTCACACTGCCATAATAGACAAGTGGGTAAATACAGAAATGAATGTGTTATACTTTTTCCTGAACACGACGTGAACAATCACATTTAAAAATCTCTACATTTCCTTCTTACAAATTTTTCTTCAAAGCATGAGTCAAACACCACTTCACTAGCACCTTCCTTGAAGTTCTCAACATCTAGCCCAATGATATAATTAGTTTCTCATCTTCTATAACTTACAAATGTTTATATTACATCAATGATTATACTTCAAGCAAATTCTCATGTAGCATTCTTCTCAACAACATGCCATTTTCCAAGACAACTTCATGGCTATACTTCTGTTTAGATACATTATCAGGGGGATAAATATTGATACCATTGTATTTTCAAATATTTTATCTCACATTTTATCTTCCTACAAAACTGTAAGCCTCTCAAAGGTGAACTATTAAACATGTTCCCCCATTGCTTTCTATAGATACCTACTGAATGGATGGATAGACGATAAGACAATGATAGAAGAACATTCACACATGATACTACACAGCCAAGCACACCCACAACACCTCCAGGCTTACCGGTCCATGGCATGTGAGGAGGCCATCTTCCATCTTCTCACACTGGGAGTCACACTCCATGCAGATGGAGCCATTTTCGAACTCCCGAAATTCACTGTGAAAATATCAGCTGCATGAGGAGGTGTAAGCAAACAAGCTGTCAACTTAAAAAATGAACTAACATCTGCTAAAAGTCCTATTGGCAGAGTAAATTTTTGAGTTTGTTTCTCTATGTGCCAGGAGCATCAGAAACATTTCCCTATACATTAAGGACTAAGTTCTCCATTAGGAGAAAAGATAAACGGCAGCCAGATGGCTCTCCTTGTCCTCTATTGGATTCAATGAAAGACTCATTCTGGAAACCTCTCCTGTGAGAGAGATTCTAGCCCTCTCAAAAGAAAAAAAAAAGTAACTCTTCTGATGACGCAGCAAAACGCATTCTACCTTTTTAGATAAGGGTATGCCTGTTTGTATCCATATAAAAGTTTACTCTTGGATGAAGCTTTAATTTCTAAACTTTGAAAGAACTATTGTATTTTTCTTGTTGCTAAGTTACATGAAATGTTCCCCATCCTTGTCCTTCAAATCCCAAGAGTCTTCAATTTATTTTTGGTGAAACTTCAAAAAACGCTTTGATTTCTTTTCTCCTTTCAAAATATCTGCCTTAGAGAATTAGAAAAAAAATATCTTTTATGGTGGATTTTATTTTCTTAGATTATTGATCTAATATCACAACATTTTTTTCAATCTCAATTCTTTTTGAAGTAATTCTTTATGGTATAAAATGTTTAAAAATAGTTTAATGGCTAAATCCTAAAACTTTCTAATTGAAATCTATTGGGATGATGGTCATCCTTCTTGCATTCATAATTTTTTTGGACTATTTGTGTATTAAATGGTTATCAATACCTAAATTTTCCAAAGTCCCTTCTAAATGTTTCATTTCCATAATTGGGTATCAGTCATCTATAATATGTTCCAACTACCTCATTCCTACTAATGTACAAGAGGTTGAAGAACCGGGTAAGGACAATTTTGAATGTTATTTAGAGTAATTAACAAAATTTGACTAATATGTGTAGCCAATTTATTGATTATTTCATGCCTTTTTTCCCTGACCTACCATTCCAAACCACCAATTGATTAGGTGACAAGTTCAAACATATTATTCCTAGAGTGATGAATTATTTTTCCCAATTGAATACTTAAAGCCTTCATAAATAACAGAAGTCCAAAGGTTGAACAATGTTTTCTGTTGGTTATATTACAACTCTATGTATTCCAAGGCAGAATAATTAGTTTGGCTTTCAAAATGAATAGCATAAATAGGTGGTTTAATTATGTGTGTACATAGGCAGTTACATGCTTTTTGAATTTTAAGTATGAGATATTAGTTTGTTATAGATCAAACCTTTTATGAATTTTCTTAAATTTAAACTCTTAATTATAAAAACAGGTTTTCTTTTGTATGCTTCATCAACAGGAGTGATATAAAGTATTCAACAGAGGACACATTCAGAATACAAAGATCCATATGACCTGGTATGGGGGAGTGGTTAAACTGTAAAGAGGATGAAAAACACTGTATAGTAAAATTTTATGACAGCTCAAAGCCAGGGACCAGCTAATTACTGGTTTTGGATAATAATTTCTTTGGAAATTAAACGGTTATGAAGCACATTATTTTTGTGCTACTCAAACAGAGGCCATACTTTTCTTACTCTTCTACTCCAAAACCCACTTGTCCAAACAGAGAGGTGAAGAGGAAGATGCAGGTCAGAAAAATCATGGAGACAACCTGTTGCTTTTTCTTCCACAGACTTACAATTGTGTGGCTCTCTTCCTTTCTACCTTCCTAAAGGATCCTACCCTTTACTTTTGCCACCATTGCTCTTTTCCTTCCCTGCCCCCTAGTGACTTTACTGTGACTTTGCCAGAGTTCCCCTTCCACTTGAATTTGACCCAACAAATTAGTCTGTTGAGCATGAACTTTGCGTGCTAAGTTTGTTTCACTTGTTTTTGCTGTAATACTTGTGTGTTAGCTCAACCGATTCTGTAATCACAAGTGGCTAGTCTTCCAAAACTAAAACCCACAATCAACAGTGATATTTCTAGGACTTAAATACTTCAACTTTTCTAAGTTTAATTTCCTAAATATCTTCTGTAAAGGAGAAACATATTGTTTCAATGAGGGGTTGTGATTCTTAAAAATAAAAATGCCTGCAAAGATTTTTAGACTGGTACAATCGTTAATGTTTCTGTGTTCATCTGAAAGTTTCAGAAGAGTTGACAGAAAGGTTTTAATTTTATTATTTTATTTTTTTACTTTTTGGTACAAGGGATTGAACCCAAGGACATTTTACCACTGAGCTATCTTCCCAGAGTTTTTATTTTTTAATTTTGACACAAGGACTTGTAAGTTGCTGAGGATCTTGCTAAATGAGCAAGGCTGGCCTTGAATTTGCAGTCCTCCTGCTTCACCCTCCTGAGTCGCTGGGATAACAGATGTGTGCCCCTGTGTCCAGGTAGGCAGGAAGTTTTAAGGTTCCATTGCAATTATCTTTTTCTTTCATTCTGAATTGATTATGCATTATAGTTAAGAAATACAGAAATACAGTTAGTGATATGACCCATATTTGAATGCTCATCAGCCAGGAATTGATTATTTTTTCTTTCTCCCTTCAAAAAAATTCTCTTTTGAGGATTTGTTCTCTTCTAATACACACACAAACACACATGCACACACTGCATGTGTGTGCATTCATGTGTGTGTGTGTGTGTGTGCTCTCCCAATAATTTTGGTAAATGTGAATTGCATCTGATTATTTTTAGCAGTTTTTAACATGACTATTTCACTGAACCATTTAAACAGCTCAGAATAATAGACACAAAAGGAAATTATGACAATAATTTCTATTGCTGGAACTTAAGACCTTATTCCATTGTTATCCCTATTTTTCATATAAGAAAACAAGTTTAGCCAAGTGCAATAGTGAGTGCTTGTAGTCCCAGCTACTTTGGAGTCTGAGCAGGGGGATCACTTGAGACCAGGAGTTCAAGACCAGCCTGTGTAACACAATGAGACCCCATTTCAAAAAGGAAGTGAGGAGGGAGGGAAGAAGGAAACAAATCCAAGTTTAGAATGATTAGGGTGTTTGTCAAAAGTTGAACATTTCAATTAGGAAGAAATGAAGTTAAGATTTGAATTCATTCTTCCTCAAAGGCCTTAACTACCCAGGCAACCACGCAATGTTGACAGAAACCAGCCAATGTCACAAGATGGGAAGAGGGAATCCTTCATTGGATAGCCAAGATTTGAATTAATGTAAATATGAAAATTAAAATGATGTAAATATGAAAAATGTTAAATATCAAAATTGATCTCTTCATCAGTGCTTAGATACCCTGCATTTTTTTGACTTCTTATTTGTTTTCCATTTACTGCTTTGTAGAATGTAGCAAATTTATATATATTTTATTATATATATATTATATTATGTGTGTGCATATATGTATATATACATACACACATAAGCACATATTTATACATTTAATATTTCTGACAAGGTTGAAATTGAAATATATAAGAAAAACAGCATCATTCTAGAAAGGAAACAGGATAAATCAAGTGTTACTACTTCTAGCGCTAGCTTGGTTCTTCTACAGTGTTATGATTTTAGTAAGTAGTTAATTATACTGTTCCTCATTATTTATAAGATTGTTCTATTGGATAAAATGATTTCTAGAATATATTTCCTGCTTAGAACTACACATATAAATTTAATAAACACTTAATATAACATTCACTTAGTGGAACTAATGACTTTTATGAGTCATTTTAGAGACACCAACTGCTGCACAAACAGGTATATTTCATCCAAGGTATTTTATGTACAGAAAATACACTTTCATAACAATCTGTATAAGCATGAACACAATTAAATTAGACAAGTAGCACATACTTTTCAATTCACTATCAAATTCACCAGGTTATTGTACCTCACAAAATTACAAGCTGAAATTTTCCTGAAAAATAATTACATTCTTGGACTGGGGTTGTGGCTTAGTGGCAGAGGGCTTGCCTAGCACATGTAAGACACTGGGTTCTACCCTCAGCACCACATAAAAATAAATAAACAAAATAAAGATATTGTGTCCATCCATAACTAAAACATTTAAAAAATAATTATGTTCTTATGTAATTGTTTTTTTAAAATATAAGTTATTTATATTTAAAATTCTAAGCTTTATCTTTTTCTTCTAAATTTTGTGAAGTGAATATGCTTGGGTCATCTTTCAAAGAAGAAACATATCAATATCATTATAATAATGTTATTATAAATAGAGTTTTATCCTGTTGATACACAAGGCAAAACTATAGTGTTATCAGGTATCATGAAAATAGTTGTTAAAATGAGATAATTCATGAGGCACAAGAAGAAATGAAGAGCTTCAAAGCTGTATTTTACAAAACTGTTGAAAACATTTTCATTTAAAGAATATGGGGAAACTTGACTTAGAAAGTGCTAAGAAATGCATTACCACACCGATGAAGGACAACTATGATGCATAAAATGGTATATTATGATAAAGTGGTTTTATGAGTGTATGAAATGCCAGGCAATGTAGTGTATACTAGGGTTTTATTACTAGTAATGTGATTATTGCACTACCAGAATGAATTGAAAATACTCAGTTTAAAATGTTGCTCAAGTTTTCTAGAGAGTGGCAGAACACTTTCAGAAACCTCTCCAACTAGACATTACAAAAATAGGGTTAAATAGTTGTCAATGACATAGGAACATGGACTCTTCCTAAAATGCAAATAAGTATGTAACTGGAATGGAAAAAAATCAAAAGTTATGCAGTGACTGTGGATGAAAAGTAACTGGAAAATATCAGAAGTAGAACAGATTGCTGAGACCTGAAACTTTATAAAAATTTCCCTCTTAAAAAAATGATTTTTATTTTTCCAAACTGTGCTTTTTTGTTATAATTTATTAAAAATTATCCACCTTAGTAAACATTTCTAAAATGTACATACTATTCAACATATAAATATTTGGACTTGTTATTTGAAACAAAACCATTTTGCCTTAAAATGTGTTTGTTATCTCCCTTTTGTAGTATGAAGTCTTCTGAAAAATCCTGATGATCTCTTCACACATTTTGAAATTTTTCCATTTTCTTAAATTTTAAAAATCTGAGCTAATCAGTGTCTCACTGCTGAGGAGGTAAAAGGGACAGTATGCGATTCCTTACCCATCATAGAGGTTACAGGACTCTATGCATATCCTTCCCCTGCTGAAGCGTCGGCATGAAAGACACTGGTCGGGCCCAGGACCCCAACAGCCATCCTTGGAACATAGATGATTGCACACCATTCCTTCAGCAGCTGCAAAGCACACCAAAATCAAGGGTAAATAAAGCAAAAAAAAAAAGTGTCAAAACTTACTGTATTCCTAAGATTGTTTAAATGCTTTTAAAGACATTGGCTTCTTAAAGGAGATCTGCATCAGATAACTTTGCCTTATCTCCAATCCCCATGCCCAAGCCTACCCCCACTTACTTCATGTTGCAGAGGTCTACTCACTAATGTTTGAACAGCAATGTTGTATTTTTCATAAAATACAAAACTGAGCAAAACACAGGCATCTATTTGAATTCTAGAGGGAAGAGAGGTGACGGTTCCAAGGTAAGGACTAGACCAAGAACTTTCCCAGTCCAACGGTTGGCTCCACTAAGAAAATAAGTATTTATGCTTCAATTGTATCAAATAACATCACAAAAAAAAAAGAAGAAAGATATTATCTTTAAAAAATACTTGAACAAGAAGAGAGAAAAAAATGTAAAACACACACAGAGGGTAAGAGGGGGAGAAAAGAATAGAACTAAAAAACAAGATTTTTATGACTATATCTACCTTGATATTAGTACATGCAAAAAATAATTTTAAAAGAATATTCAAAATTTCAGGCTTACCCATGAGGAGGTATAGAGTTTAAAATACAAACAGGGGTTTTTAATCTTATGTCTTTTTTATGATGGGAGAAGTGCCAAAAATTTGGGGGGCTATGTTTTAAAATTGCCAGTTAAAACTGTCCATTTCTGTTCTCCTTTATACCGAACGGCATTTATTCAGTATATTATTATTTGCATCGTGTAACATAATTTTTTTGAAGGGCCACTAGATGCTGAATAAGAAGTGCTCATAAAGATTTCAAATTCTATTCTGGGTACCTGAAAAGTGATTTTAGGCATCAGAAACACAAGTGCATACGGTTTTCATGAAATGTTATGAATTCTCATGAAGATAAAAACATTGAAATCTTTATCTTTCCATTGATTACCGATTTTATTTATTATAGGCTGTAAGGTTTCATGGCAAAAGTCATTTGTGAAGTAAAATAGAAAAAAATACTATCTTAAACAAAAAGAAATTAAACAAGTAAAAAAAAATGAACTATGCATTCAAAGAAGGTGAGAAGAAGCGAAAATAATAGAACTAAATGGCACCTGAACATGTTAATGTAACATAACCAGGGGACCATATCCTGGAAACTGTGAAAGCTGTTCTAATGTACTCTTGAGAGCATACTGCTTCCACCTTGGATGCTGACAAGGTTTTAAAATAGTGAAATAAATTTCCTAGTTCCTACTTTCTTTGTCTAATATCATGGGGGCTAAAGAAGTGCGCATGTTAAATAGTATAAAATATTTTCTTAAGGCTGACAGACATATCAATAAGACTTTTTACTTTATAACTGCTTACATGAATAATCTCTACCAGTATAGTTTAAGATAGGAGAGTATATATATATACACTTTAAGATAGGAAAATATATATATTTATATTTATTTATTTATAAAGCAATTTTAGTTTTACTGAGTTATATATGACATGATGCATTGCTCATGTATAAAATGTACAAATTGATAAGTTTTGTCATGTGTATATACTTATGAAATGTATACATAGTAAAGATAATAAATGTATCCAATACCTCCAAAAGATTTGTTATGATGTATGTAATCTCTCCTTTTTGTCCCATCCCCCTCAGACAACCAGGGGTTTAGTTTCCGTTACCATATACTATTTGTGTTTCATAGAATTTTACATAATGTATATCTCTTCTTATATAGTTTCTTTCCCTTCCCATGATTTTTGAAGATTCATCCATGTTCTGTGTATCAATACTTCATTCATTTTTTATTGAGTATATTCCATTGAACATATCATTTTTTTTCAAATCCATTTACCTATTGACTGACATTTAGACTGTTTTCCATTTTGGTCTATTAAAAATAAGCTACTATAGGGCTGGGGTTGTGGTTCAGTGGTAGAGTGCTTGCCTAGCACATGTGAGGCACTGGGTTCCATCCTTAGCACCACATAAAAAATAAATAAATAAATTAAAGGTGTTGTGTCCATCTATAACTAAAAGTACTTTAAAAAAATAAGTTACTATAAATATATGTATACAAGGTATGGATACACACATTCATTTCTATTGGGTAAATATTCAAAATGGTATGGTTGAATAATATGGTAGATACGGGGTTAACTTTTATGAAACTGTGAAATTGTCTCTCAAAGTAGTTGCACCAATTTACATTCCCACCAACCATGAACACAACTGGAGAGCTGAAGTTCTCCCATGTCTTTGTTAATACTTGATATGATCACTATTTTAATCCAGTCTTCATTTATTGGCATGCAATAGTTTATCATGGCAATTTTTATTTATATTTACCCATGATTAAAGATGTTGAAATAACTAAAGTAAAAAAAAAATTACATTAGTTTAAAAAAAAATAAAAGATTTTGAGCATCTTTTAATGTATCTATTTGCTATTCATATATCTTGTTTGGTGAAGTGATATCAAATCTTCCTTTTTGATATTATATTGATTTCTTATTTCCTGGTATTGAGAGGGTTTTTTTTTATTTTATAAGTACTTTCTTCTGATTTTAGCTTTTTCTTTTCACTATTTTAATACTGTCTTTTAGAAGTTTTAAATTTTGATGAAGTACAAGTTATCAATTTTATCTCTATAAATCATGCTTTTCATATCATGTCTAAAAAGTTTTAAATATGCCTAACCTAGGGTCATGGTATTTTTTTCTGATGTTTTCTTTCATAATGTCCTTGTTTTGGATCTTACAAATATGTATATGATCCACTTGGAGTTAATTTTTGTTCACGGTAGTATAGCAGTCAAGGTTCTCCAGAAAGAAATAAAAACAATATAATATAACAAATTATATATATATTTATATAAAATAACTGTGGATTGATTATTTCTGGTTCTGTTCCTATTGATTTATTTATCTCCAATGGCACATAAATATTTTTCATCTTGTCAATTTTAATCAAGCCACAACCCCAACCCTGTAGTAGCTTATTTTTAATAGACCAAAACGGAAAATAGTCTAAATAACTGTCAACAGGTAAATGGATTTGAAAAAAATTGATATGTTCAATGGAATATACTCAATAAAAAACAAATGAAGTATTGATACACAGAACATGGATGAATCATCAGAAACCATGGGGAGGGAAAGAAACTATATAAGAAGAGACATATATAAAATAACTGTGTGAGCCGATCTCTTATTTTATATTAAAACTGGTAAGTACCACTATCTGCCATCTGCAAGCTGGGGTCACATGGAAGCCAGGGATGTAGTTCCAGGTTGAGTCTGAAACCCAGAGATACAACAACAACAATGATGTAAGTTTGGGTCCAAGTCCAAAGGGCTAGGAACTAGGAGCACTTACGATATAAGTCCCAATCCAAGAAGGTTAACATTCTACCCAAGCAATCACAAAGAGTGAATTCTTCCTCCCTGTACCATTTGTTATTATATGCAGGCCCTTAATGGACTGGATGATGTCTACTCATATTAAAGAGGGCAATCTGTTTCACTAAATTTATCAATTGATGCTAATTTCATCCAGAAACATTCTCACAGACACACCCAGAAATAATGTTTAACTAATCTAGGCATCTCATGCCTCAGCTAAATTGACAAAATTTACTATCACACCTACTTAGTAAGAATCTATTCCTTTTCTTTATATGGATATTCAATATTTTCAGCATTATTTGTCTAAGAAATTATCCTTTCTTTTCCAAATGCAAATGCAAATGTATGTAAACTTGCATATTTGTGAAAAATTAATTGTCCCTGTAGTGTGGATTGATTTCTGGTTCTGTTCCTATTAATCTATTTATCTCCAATGGTACATAAATATTTTGCATCTTGTCAAATTTAATCCATTTGTTTTTTTATGTTTGAAGCTTATGCTGTGAAAGTAACATGTAATAATGTATCTCACTTTTTACATTCAATTTGTCAATTTCTGTCTTTTAAATAGGGGTTAGACCAATTTAGTATAATTATTGTTATAATATTGTTATAATATATTAATTAATGTTGAGTCATTCATCTTGCTATTTTTTCTGTTTATTTAATTTGTTCTCTTTCCCCTTTCTCTTATGTTTCTGCTAGATTTTTTTATTAACTGAATTTTTATGATTTCATTTTTTCTTCCCTTTTTTTTATGGCATCTGTGGGTTAGGAGCTACATAACTTTTGATGTGCAATTTAATCTCTTGGGCTTGTAATGTACACATTTTTAATTGCACTTTTTTATTCTGAGAAATTCCTGTGTAGTTGTAAGTGACAACATAGAGAGATTCCTTGGTACCTCTACTCAGTTTAACCAAATGATACGACCTTGCAAAACTGTAGCACAATAACACAACTAGGTTGTTGATGTTGATATTGTCAAACTACAGAAGAGATTCCCTCCACACCAAGAATCGCTACTGCTGCACGTTTATCTTCACAATGCCTTGTCTCCTATCTTCACTTCCACCTCATCTCCTCAACCTCTCTGAATTCTATAATTTGGTCATTTAAAAATATTGATAAATGGAACCATGCGGTATGTAACTTTTAAGGATTAGAATTCTTTTCACTCAGACATCTCCAGAGATTCTCCAGGTTGTTTTGTACGTTAGTATCATGTTCCTGTTTTACTGCTAGTAGTATTCCATGGTCTGGATCACCACACTTTATTTAACCATCCACCTGTAGAAGGACACTTGAGTCATTTCCAGTTAGTTTACAGGTATTAAAAATAGTGCTGATATAAACATTAGTATGTAGGCCATGGTGTATGATTTTAATTCTTCCCAAAATGCTCAATTCCTGGTCACATGGTAGAAGCGTTTCAGTTATTATTAGTATTTTTTATAATGAGTATAATAAATTGTTTTCTAGAGTGGCTGTACCATTTTACATTCCAATTGGCAAAGTGTACATTATTGCATCTTTATCTTCTCTGGCATCTGACTTTATCACTGTTTGTTTTAGCTATTCTG